TGTCAGGCACGTCCTGTCACCGTGGCATATGGCACATGAATCATTCACAAAGCTAGGGAATTAATTATTCATCCAAACGAAAGACCAAATGCTTTACTAATTGTCCTGGAAGGAAAGAGCTGGGAAGGGGGTGGGAGATGGGGCAGACATCAGGTTGGAGACTGGGTGCAGGAAAAAGAAGGGAAGAAGAAAAAAAGTCTTGTCTGGTACGATCAAAGCATTGCTCTGCTTTTGGACTTGGGTTCTCTCTTTACTGGTTTACCCTACAGGACAACACTCCCTGCAGGCTCCTGTAGAGTCCTTGCAGTGTACAGGCTCCAGCAGAATAATCCTGTTAGGACACTGCACTTGTGCTCCATGCCTCGTATCCACTCCCCCAAACTTCCTTGCCTGCAGGTGTCCTGTGCATGTTTTGGGGCTGACACCCCAAACCACAAGGAGATGCAGCATATGAATATTCCCACACAGAGCTTCAGCCAGCACCAGTTCAAGGACCCCCCCCCCACCCCCCACCAGCTAAGACACACAGAACTTGGGTTGCACAAGGTGCACTAAAATACCAGAGGGCAAAGCATCCTCGCCTCTGCCATGCGGGAGCTCAGGGCATTGCAAAAAGGGCACTGGGCATTTTCCAGGACAGTCATCCCAAAATCCAGGCAGCACCACAGTGAGCAATAAGCCAACCTGCCCTCCTTATCCCCATGCTCACGTCGCAACCTGGCAGCACAGAGGGAAGCAGTCTCCTAGGAACTGCTCTCTCCTGCTTCACCCCAGCCACGGCTGAAAATCAGGGCACGGGTGTGTACAGGATTTCACCGGGAGGCCAGAGGCTGGGCTCACAACTGCCACTTGCCTTTGCAGGGAGAGGACTTTGGTTTTCGGGCCAGCTGTCAGGGCTTGGAGAGCTGGGCTTTCCTCTGCCGGCATGGGCTGGTGCCCCTCCGGTCGGCTCTGGGTTTGCTAAGGGCACAGCAGGCACTGCCAGCGATCGTTCATTCCTGCCTTCCCTTGGCCACACTCCACTCCACAAAATCCCTTAATGAAAACTACAGTGCCCAAGGGCTTCACAAAAGGCATCCAGGTGTAGCAGCTGTTATTAAACCCTCCAAAAAACCCTGATGCCAGCTCTTCCTTTTAGTGACCCCAGTGTATTTATCCTGGGTTTTCAGCAGCTGCTTCCCTGGCTCCTGAGCAGCACAACTTCACAAACAAGGGCCTTTTGATTTCCATTTTGATTTTTTCCTGTTGTTAGAAGTGTTCCCCCACCCCTTCACCTTTCACATAAGGTGTTATTGTATTATTGCTGCAACTGCTATAAAAAAGCCACTGTGGTGCTATGATGCTCAGGCATTGGAGTGTGTGAAGCACACACCCACCTGGATATTTTCAGAGGGAGTTTAACCCTTCTTTTCCCACAAGCTCCTTCAAATAAGGTGTAGGACAAGGCGGGATGGTGTAAGGTCTATTCTCTATTTGTTACACTAACGGCACCCGGGGAGCAGGGAGCTGATGCTCCAGTTTCTGATGGCTGAAGTTCCTTCAATGTGTCCCTCTTGGAACCACCGATTAAGAGGTCGCCAAGGTCCCGCTGCCCCTTCTGACCATTTCTGAGCAGTTTTCCCCTTTTTGGTCCAGGACATACTGCATCAAGCAGGTCACGAGTCCAGCTTCAGCACCCAGCCAAGTCTGGTTCACGCATGGGCAAGGCGAGCATCCCCAAGCCCCAGGGGAAACACAGACGTTCCCCTCCCCAGCTCTGCCAGTATTTTATGCACGTTTTCAGAGAAAAATATTTTTAGCTGGGGGAGAACAGGCTGTTTTTTTCAGGCAGCGATGATGATTTGGAAACCACAGGTTATAAACAGAGCAGGTTTACAAATGTGACTATTAGTTCCCCAGTGGAAGCTTTAGCATCAGGGAGTTTTAGGTGGGCGTTGATTTCCACCGAGATGAAAAAATCTGGATTTATTGACATAAGAAGAAAACACCAGTTGAACCCAAGTCAGTGCCGTCCGTTCCTGCACAGGGTCCCAGGAGGCCATTCGCGGCAGCAGCCCCTCATTAGGCTAATTAACACCAGGGAGAGTGTGCCCAGGATATCCCGTGGCTCATGGAAACCCCAACGCTGCATCACCACCTGCATTAAGCACCTCTCCCATTGGACATGTGGCAAAAAATAAGTCCAGAAAGAAGGAGTAATACCCTGTGTCACCCTTGGAGGGACAAGGGCCAGCAAGCCTGATGCTGGGTCCGTCTGGGTCCATCAGGGATAGGATGGGTCCTGCTCACGTGGATATCATCTCTGGTCCATCATCATGGGATGCATCAGCATCCCAAACTGGTCAGCACATCCCGACGTGAGCGCTACCCTACACCTCTGATGCTCACAACATCCCCTCCACCACAGCCACTGCCTCTTGCTAAGTCGTGACAAGATCCCAACGACTATTAATTCTCCCAAGCTCAATAGTCTCTGTCCAGACACTCACATATTAATCAAGTGTAAAGTTTTAGTCTGCAAAGATGACCCTGAACCGGCCAGTTGCCCGCACACATCCCCTGTGCAGACTCCACCACCCACCTTACGCAACCGATGCAGAGTGAACCGCCAAGTGCAAACCCTCTCCCGCAAGCTGTTTGCAAGTCATTTGCCAGCCAAGGATTATTTACTGAAGAAATTTGCCAATAATTCAGCAGATCAAACAGGCAAGAGTTTCTTGCAAGGGAGGTGCAACCACAGCGCTGAAGAACAGTAGCTTTGCCAGCACCGCACAGCAAAAGCAAGAGCTGAACGGCACAGAGGAGCCCATGACCTGGTCCAGCTGATCCCCCAGTGACCCGATCCTCCCCAAAACCGGTCCAGGATGAAAATCTGCAGGTTGTCTCCTCCACCCATCATACAACAGAATCCACCCCGAAAGCCCAGTGAGCCCATGCCAGCGGGCACTGGCACCACTGGGGCAAAGACGGCAGGTAATCGGGCATTTCTTGAAGAGATTTTTGTCCTGCTGGAGCAAACATCAGGATACAAGGGGGGTGATGGTGGTGAAGCAGACCCCAGAGGTCTGCATCCCATAACCAGCAGTGTCAGGGGGACCTGGGCACCTCCCGGCAGGACGGCCGGCACAGCACTAACAGCCCTTCATGGACAATTGATTCCCTGGCACAGGGCCTAGCGTGGCACTGAAAGGAGCTGGCGAGGCTTTTGCGAGTGAGTAATTGCCGAGCGCTGACTCAGCACCAGATCGGCTACAGTCAGCTTGCCCAGAGCTGCGGGGAGGGCAGGGAGAGGTCCGCGGCAACCCCCCCCGCTCAGCCCAGTGCTTCCCCTTGGCCCAGGCCCCAAAGGATGCCCGGGCCAGGAGACGGCCGATGGGCGTTTCCCAGCCACCCAGCCACTTTCTGCACACTCAGCCCAGCATCGCAGCTGCACAGTGAGGCCGAGACATCCCCTCTTGTTGCTACCAGAGATGACACGTGTCCCACACTGCCCCCAGAGATGTGACCAGGGATGTGACCACCTTTGCCTAGCCCAGGAGCTGTGCCCGGCCGCTCTCCCCGCAGCAGCGAGCCTGCCTGGCCACAGAGCCCTCCCTTGAGAGTCACTTTGCAGATGCAGAAGAGCCAGCAGCATCCTGTGTGATGGCTGCACCACCCACAGGCAACCCATTCGCTGCCCACTGAGAAGCATCACGCCACCACCAGCACACAGAGACACCCTGCCTTCACAGGCAGAGACAGTCCCACTCCCCAGCGAGATCATCCAGGTCTGCCTTGGACCAAGGGAGTCAAAATGTTCCCGGCCACGTTCTCTTCAAGCCTTCTCTTGAGCACAGTCCCAACCTGCACCTCTTCATGACAGACAAGCAGCACCCATCACCACATCCCTGGCAGTACCAGGCTCAGCATCGCCCTCCTCCTCCAAACACCCAAACAGGTATCATGTCCCACACAGTGCCACCACTCAGGAGAAGACTGCAAGCCAAGAGACAGGACTGTACAGCAAGCAACTCAGGAGAGACCCCTACTATCTCACCTGGCTCCCATGCCTCAGTTTCCCGGCCAGCCCTGCAGCTGCTCTGCACCCAGCAAAGCTCATGAAGTGCTCAGAGATCCACAGACACCATCTGTTTGTATGCATCAAACCAGCTCCTCTGAATGTGGTGTTTCCATCGGCATGCAAAAAGCAACGGCTGCTATCCAGGCACCACTCCCCTGGGGCCCTTGGGTGGCTGCAAGCACCCACCTGCCCTCCAACACAGTGAGGTGCTGGGAGGTCACCCTGGGAGGCTTCTGCTCAAGTCAGTTGTCACCGTTGGCTAGCACAAGCCCAAATGCCCCTGTTTGTTCCTATGTCACTAGCACAGCCCATCATACCACAAGCAGGACTCAAATCTGGGCCATGTCCCCGGCAGATGACACCACCAGTGACACAACCAGCACCCGCAAAGCTCTGTGCACTACCACCCCCAGCATCACCACTGCGTGCTGGGATGCTGAACAAGCATCACCTGGGAACACAGCCCCACCCAGACCTTGTTCTCAAACCCCCGGCACTGGGCCAAGACTGGAAAGCTCTTGGGAAGGCAAGAGGAGAAGAGATTCTCTCTCTTCCCTTGGAGGCTTTTACCAAGACCTCTCCCAAACCATGTCCAGTCGCTCATCAGGTCATACTCCCACCCCATCCCCACCTCACCCCATGCCCAGACGGATGACAGACGCCAGGCCACCAGCTGAGGAAAGCTAGACACGATGCCCTCAGAACCAGCCGTCCTTGCCTGATGGGAAACCTTGTCCCACCATCAGCTGCCCACAGCAAAGCCAATGCAGGAGCCTCCAGTGCAGGAACCATCCTCCCCTCCCTCGTTGGGATGAAGAAACACCACCGACAACAGCAAACCAGGGCCTTGCCCTGCATCCTGGAGCTCATGTCTCCACCAGGACAAGCCCCCGTGCCCGGCTGCCCAAACCCACCAACGGCCCCGCGCCACCTGACTCACCCACTGAGGACCACGATGAAGTCCATGACATTCCAGCCATTGCGCAGGTACGAGCCCTTGTGGAAAACAAACCCCAGAGCCACGATCTTAATCCCAGCCTCAAAGCAGAAAATCCCGATGAAGTAGGGCTCCGTCTTCTCCTGCCGGAGGGGAACCAGTGACACGGTGAGAGGGGGAGATGGAGACGGGGCAAGCACAGCACCAGCCATTCCACATTGACCCAACTCACATCCCATCCCACCTTCCCCAGCCCCATCCTCCCCTTTGGGAGCTTTCCCAGCCCTTCCTCAGCCAGCATCAACCTTGGAAACAAAAAGTGGGGGCTACGACCCACTCAAGTTGCCCAGTCCCCCTTCTCTACACCACTTTTTAAGGGGCTTAAACCTTCCTGAACCCTTTCCATGGAGGAGGAGTATGTGTCAGCAGCCCCAGGAAGGCTGGAGGGGCTGGTCCTGGAGGAAACCTCCTGCCCTACCACCCTGAAACCAGCAGAAATTTGCTGGTAGGATGGGGTGGCTCCCCTCAGCTGGTCCCCCTGCTCACCCACGGGGCGGAGACGTATGGACACGGTGTACTTACTAATCTCCGTGACATGGGTGTCTTGTCATCCTCAGGGAGGTGCTGCTCGAGGGCCAGCACAATGCAGTTGGCAATGATGGTCGCCAGGATCATGTACTCGAAGGGAGTGGAGGGGAGTTAAGGAGCAGAGAAGAGGTGGATGACATCCCCGACCTGCCAGCCCACCCCTGCCCATCCCTCGTTTCACCTGCTCGTTAGCTGCCACCATCGCTTTCCCCGCAGGAACATGCACACACGCAGCCCAGCTTTCAGCTCCTGCTGCTCCTGGACAAGTGGGTGAAGCCCACCTTGGTGGTGTTTGGAAAAGGGAAGTGTGACAGGAACTGAGAGTCCCCAGGACCTTCCTCACTGGAGACCTGCTGAGCATCATCACCTCTTTCCCAAGGCAATGGGACATTTAACCAGCAGCCTTTGCTGGGCTGTGAACTCTCTTGGGAGAGAGATGCTGCTTGTGGTGGGAGCCCAGAAGACAGACACAGGTATGAAGGTAGACAACTAGGCTCTGACCAGGTTGGGCTTCATCTGTAAAAGGGCTTGGCGTGGTCCCTGGCTGTGTCAGGGAGGCTCTCCCTGGCACGGCATGCTGGTGGCCAGGGCTGGCATGTCCCTGCACACCATGGCCGTGCTGCTTGCCTTCTCCCTTCCATCATGAAGCAGCAGGAGATGGGGTGTCATGGGCTATCAGCAACCCTGGTCCTAAAGCATCCCTGTGGGAGGGACTATCTGCACAGCATGAGCAGGACAGGGCATCCCTGGCAGGTCCTGGGGACCCAACCCAGACCAGCCCACCCTGTGCCCCGTGTTGGTAAGGTGGACATGCCCTGGGAACCGTGGCTCCCTTGCCAAGCACCCTGTGGGTGGCAGGGTGAGCCCAGGCAGCACTGGGAGCTGCAGAGCACCAGGCTAAGCATTCACAACTCAAGACACTGATGACGCCTGGGTCTGAGCTCCAGTTCAGGCAGGGCTGAAACTCCCCACAGAGACATCCCAGCTCGGCCACACTTCAGCAAGACCCCAAGGGGTAGTGGCACCTTATCAACAGGATCTGGTTGGACCTTTACGAGCGTCCTAAATCCTACAGCCATGTCTAGGGCTTACACACCCTTCTCCAGGAGCAACCCCGCGCCAGGACAAGTCGCAGCAGATGCTGGGATCTGAGGACCTGAGTGAGTGGGGAGGCAGAGGAAAAGGCATGCTGACACCCAGGAAAGCACCCCAAACTCAGCCCCCTCCTGCCTTTTGATTCACAGGGGCTGCCAGGAGCGAGGCAGGGGTGTGGAGCTCCCTCCTCCTGCCTGGCCCACTGCCAAGCCCTGAAAACAAAGCACTTCCAAGCAACAGGACAGCCATATCTTTCTGACTTCCCATCCATCTTTACCACATCTTTGCAATAAAAGCCCTGTTGTCCTCAATAACAAAATGAGGCGAGACTCATCAGCAGGCAGCACACCCCTTCTCCGCTCCCTCCATGCCAAAAACCCACAGCTATATATCCCCTGGGAGGGGATGGCCACCTTCCCAAGGCTTGGGTCTGTGGAAAAGGGATGTGATCCCACCTGGGATGGATTTGCCAATAAAGAAATCATCCCACTCCTGCTGTACCAAGCCGGCATGGGGAGCAGCGCCCCGGTTGAGCCCTTCCCCACCACACCTAGCTTCTCCAGACCCAGCAGCTTCAGGTTCGCACCGCTCAGGCCAGGAGGTGCCAAATGCCCGTGCCATCACCCCCAGGAAAAGGGATGATTTTCACTTTTGCAACCTTGCCTTTTGGCCGCCGAAGACGCTGACTACAGCAAGATGCTTTAAACCAGTGGTCCTGAGCCTATGGGCAAGAGAAGACATCCCTGTGCTGGCCACGAGCATGGAAAACCGGAAACCATGAAGTGACCCCGGCAGCAGCAACCCTGGCAGCAGAGACCCCGTGCACACTGCGGCTCACGGGCAAGTTGGGAGTGAGGCTGGGCATCCGAGCAGGTCCCTGGAGAGCTGGCCAGGAGGGGCAGCCAAGGAGAGCCTGCAGGAGCTGGGATGTATTTAGCCTGGTAGGGAGAAGAGCCAGGAAAGATTCAGCCAAGGCATTTAAAAGGCCACTCAGTGAAATTAATGGTTGTTAAGTTAAAGGCAAACCAAAAGGAAGACCTCTGCAGAGCTCACCGCTGCAGGCTCAGACCTCTGTGCCAGCCCGGCACGAATCACGAGCAGCTTCCTGTGCTTGGTGGGGGAAAGCCAGACCCCAAAAGTTTTCCTCTGAGGCTTAATACAAGTGAGGATTTCATTGCATGGCTCCTGCGAAAGCCACATACTTTCCCTGCTTCCCCCCTCTGGCCGCACACCTCAGCTGATATGCAGACTACGGCGCTTGGCCCCGAGCCACTGGCCTATTTGGGGTCTTTTTGTTTCATTTTCCTGAAAGTCTGCAAGCAATTAGCACAGGCTTAAAAGAAAACAGCATGTTAGTGGGGCGGCGCCGCCAGCTCCCTAGGCACTAGGCACATCTGCACACAGCAGATATGAAGTCTAAGGGAAACAGGGCAATCGCTGCCCTAAGTAGTGACCTAAGCACGAGGTCGCTACCAAAAGTGACTCTCCAAACCCCGTTGGCCCAGTTTTCTGAGGACCCAAGCATGGGTTATCGCATCTGGAGCTGGGTGAGAGCTGCAAGGCATCAACCCCACAGAAACAAGCCCCTGTAGCTCCAGCTGTGCCAGGTTTTGAGAGGCCAAGGGTAAGAAAACCCTCCCAAGGGACAGCAGGAACATCTGGCTGAACCAGGGGAAATTTTATCCACACACTTCACTTATGCTAAGCAAGCATCCTCCCAGCTCAGGGCTGGAGCCCACCAGACGATGCTCTATCACTCCTTTGTTTCCTCTCTCATTAGGTGTCTAATTACACGACCTTCCAGCCACCCAAAATGCAGAGTAGCACTTGCCTCCCTCCGAGCCCGGTAATGAAAGCCCATCTCCCTCCAGCCTTCTCCTCCTCCTCCGTCTGGCTTCTCCTGGAGGATCATTAGGGAGCCGATAAAAATAGGTTTTCTTATTGATTTATCTCCTTTACCCAACGCTCTCTCCCCTGCACCGTTGAATTGTTTCCTTAGCAACTCGGCCGATCCCAGTGCATGCCACACCTGCAGCTCCACACTTCCCTCCCAGTGCATTTGAGGTGGGGAAGGTGCCCCCAGACCACATGGACACCACCACCAGCCCCCCCCCCGACCCATGCCCCCGCCCACCCGGAGCAGGCACTGTGAGCTAACCCCCTACCCCATGCCTGGAGCTGGAGCTCCTTGGTGGGTCTGGCAGGAGCTGGCAGGGAGAACCAGGGAGATGTCCAGCCACCAGTGGATCCTTGCTTCCAGCTGTGACCTTCCTCTTCTCCTTCCTCCCCAGCCAGGAGCCAAAACCAGCCCACCCAGAACATCTATATCGCTAACGCAGGGAGTGTGCCCAGCTCTAAGCCTTGAAGATGGATTTATGGTGCTGATGGCACATTGATGCAACCTCCCCAAGAGGCTGGGTCCAAGATAAATCCCACCCTGGATGCGGGCAAGGGCCGGGAGCTGTGGAGAGGCCCCCTCCATCTCTCCACTTCAGTGACCATGCCTTCTCCCCGCTCCTGGGCAGGCAGGTGGGGAGGGAGCAGAAGAGCCAGAGGAGTGAGACCACGTGGGCATCTCCAAAAGGACTCTTGAAGCCTACCTCAGAGGGGAGGTCTGCCTTAGAGGGCCAGCAAGAAGGGCAGGAATGATTTAACCCCTCACCCTGCCTGCATCACCCAGCCCAGCTCCAACATCTCCTAGAAACTTAACTCTACATTTCCTACCACTCCCCCATCTTCCCCTAGGACCTGCTGCACTGAGAAGCTTTCCCTGCTCCCCAGGTGTCAATGAGAGGGAGCTTCAGTTCCTACATCTGTGGACTTATCTTGCTGGTCCCAACCCCACCACTGCTGCCTGTCCCACACAGACATGGCGTGACAGAAAGACCCACCCACCTCTTCAACATCCCCATCCCTAGAATGTCCTGACCTCCCTCCTCTCAGCTCCATACCCCAGCAGAAAAGCAAGCACCTCCTCTCCAAGGTTGTTTTCCAAGAGAAAACCAAAATGCCAAGTGAAGCAAAGACCATGAGTGGTCCTAATTCAACTCCGGGGTTCCCCAGCCCCACAGCACCTCCCCCGGCTTGTCCCTGAAGACACAGGGGATCTTCCCCCAGCAGATAAGGCTATCCAGTTCCCTCAAGCAGTCGTAGAGCTGTGGCCCCTCGTGGCTATCCCCATCCCTGCGTCATGCCACCCAGCACTCCCAGACCATCCATGCTTTGCTGGGGTTGACAAAAAGTAATGTCCAGAGGGACAAGGTGCCAACAGACCCCAAATCCTCCAGCCATGCTTTGGATGTGAGCCAGCTCCTGCGTGCCCATTACGTGCAGCAAAATAGGCTCAGGAGAGCGACTGTGGGCTCAGGGCTGTGCTCATGTCTCTGTGCAGCTCACAGGGAGCACCCAGGCAAGGTGCTCAGCCTGCCTAAATCTCACTGCACAGACATGCTTCAGCTGGGGAGACTCCACTCAGTATCTGCGGCCATAGACGTCACTGCTTACAACTCCAAAACGTGGTGGTCTGGTCTCCATCAGGGGCTAAACTGAAGGCAGTATCAGCCAGGAGCCAGTTGGGGCAGAGCTGCCCACACTGCTGCCGCTCCCGTAGGGATGCAGGGCATCTGCCTGCCACGTGCAAAGAGCTCCGTGGAGAAGCATCTTCTCCCCCACCTCACCCTGCACTTAAGAACTGGAAATCAAATCTCAATCCTCTCCTCTTTTTTTTTTTTTTTTTTAAACAAAAAAGAACCACATCATGTGATTTTCCTGCCTTAAAATTAATTTT